CCCCCTACCCCCCCCCACCCCACACACACACCATAAAGGAACTTATAAAAGAATTATAGAGGTACACATTTTCGAGCTTATTCTTAATAGGTGTCATTTATAATTTGTATGTTGACTTTAGCGTAATCCAAAGTCTTGTTACCCTATAAACTTTATGTATAAATTATTATGAAACACATTTCATCTGATTCCTACTCGAGCCATTGCTTTTTCTTCAATTGATGATTCCTAGCTTTTTCAGAAATTCTTTCCATTTTCTTCTACTAATATTGATACTTGGATTTTAAATTCACAGTCATTGGTTTGTTTTAAGTTGATTTCTATCCATCCCGATTGATCCAAAAAAGGGTATGTTGTCTGATAGTTTTCATCTACTGATATCATTGAGGGATCTAATTTTGTGGTTCATTTAAGAAAATAATAAAATTTGGGGTTGGTGGTTTTGGGTTTTCATAGGATTGATTTGTATAAAAGCTAGTTTTAGTTTCCGGTCACATTTCTATGATCTAGATATCCAATTTTATGGCATATTTGTGTACAACTTTTCTTGATCAGACTTCCTTTATACTGAAAGGGGGAGAATTTAACCTTGAGATACACTTTTTTTAGTTGCTGGAGAGAGCTCTGGATGAATGCGGTGATTTGGATTCTGCCATCAAAAGATTAAATGAGCTTTGCTTGGGGTCTGCTGAGAATTTGGGGCCCCTCCCAGGAAGATCTGATGCTACCCAGGACATTGGCATTCCGATCTCAACTCAAGGTAAACATCAGTATTCTGTATGATTCTTATTTCCGATGTTTAATTTTTTCCCTATTCGAAGCATTTTTGACTGGAACTTGGGGAATGACTTCAAGTAGGTTCTTTGGTGACATCCTTTGCTTGTGTGCAATAATAACGTGCTATCTAAAATCATTGCAAAACAAGATAATTGTGCAATTGAGATTTTTTTTCTTTTGTTTTTTTCTTGTGGTAAGTGATTATGTGAATCGAGTTGTATAGACATGTCAATTATTTTGTATTTGTGGTTTGTATGAATTATAATTCGCTTTCTCTAGATGTTTGTTAGGAGGTATACACTATCCAGTGAATTTATGTGACGTTTTCATTGATCAATCTAATACCCTATTCCTTTCTTGTCCAATCTGATCTGTGTGTGTTTGTTTCATATGGTTGAAAATGTATGTCAGTATCCTGGCAGATCATTCTTGTGCTATTTTAGTGTATCACAATTCTATGCTGATTTTTTGTCTCATGCAGGTTAACAACTGCTTACCATTTTTACTAGAAGTGTCACGTAGCTAGTGTTTTCTGCACCCTTTAATTGGAGAATTTAGTCGGTTGCGGTCAACATTCTCTGACTTATTTGCTCAATTCTGTTTCACAAATTTAGTACTTCCACAGTTAGCTATAGCAAATTCTGCACTACTTTTTTACTTACCGACTATGGTACAATTTATTTAATTTAAGGCATTTCTTAAGTTTACTCTTGATTGTGGTGGAGAAGTGGTTGTATAGAAATGTAAAGAAAATAATGAGTAGTTATTTAAAATATTCTTTTCTTTGCTTGTATTTGTCTTGTCAAAATGTTAATATGCCAATCCGAGTCCCTTAAAGCCCAACATAGTTTTTCATTTATTAATATGGGTTTGTTGTCATGAACAAACTTTTTAGTTGATTTTAAGAAAAATGTCTTGTTTTTCCTTCAAGCACGTTACTTTCACCAAATTGCCTTGCTGTATAATCCTGACACCTGACTGAAAGTGTGTTTGCCCCGGACACTTGTTTTCTTAATTGAGTGAGCTGAGGCCATGGATGTTCTACTACTTATTTTGTGCTTTGAGACCCTGTTGAGAAAGATGGGGGACCTGAAAAGTTCTGAAGTTAACCCGCTGCTACAATGAAGTAAAACTGCGACCGGTGTTGCCTTATTACATGCTTTACTGAAATGATGAGTGATGTCCCCCTCTGAGCTCACTTTCTGTTGATACTTTTACCATTTTTCTTTAGGTGTATCAGTACATTTGATGGATGTTTATGAAGTTCACTAGCACAGGGTCTGTTTATATTGGTAGTCCCCTTACACATTTTGGTGCAGGTAATGGTGGGCCCACGCCATGCTCATCTGCAGCAAAAGAACTGCACATGATGGAGCGTACTGAATGGGTGGAGCTGTTTGTTAGAGAGATGACGAGTGCCTCAAATATAGATGATGCTAAAGCCCGTGCTTCACTAGCTCTTGAGGCCTTTGAGAAATCCATTTGTGCCCGTGCGACAGAGGCAGCAACTCGAAATTTCCAGCAGGTAGTTAAGAACTGTTTGACTTTATCTTGTCTGTGAATACTTTGCCCTCTATTTCTTCTTTGTTTTTCTATTTTTATTGTCATGCCATTGATGGCTGGATTCTGCTGGTGTAATCTGTTGTTTTTATTTGCTTCATCTGTCCCTCACTTGATATGGGCACAGTATACAGTTTTTTGGAGGTCCTCAATAAGATGTAGATGTTGAGAAGCAACGTCAATTGTTGCATAAAAATATGGAAAGCAGACACACAATGAGATTCAAGTTGTGTTTTATGCAGAATGTAAAGCAAAACATCAATTGATGTTTAGATGGTTCTGTTACGTTTCTCAATAAAAGAAAAGAAGAAGTTTAGATGGTTGAGGAACTAATGTTTGATGGTCTAGCTATTACTTATTATTATAGATCACTCACTAGTGTTCTTTCCTTATGGCCACTCTTCTCCCCTCCTCTCCCCTCACCCCAACAAGCAAGCGCCAAATATCAGTGTTTGTGAGGATGGGGGCTGTAGATGCACTGTTATTCCAGGCTAATGATCTTATTTTGGTAGGCCACCTCTACCTCATTCTATTCGAATAGACTTAAAAGTCGGTACTCTCACTTTCTTAGTGCTGGCTTTTGACATCAAAAGACTTGCCATTTCTGAAATGTTATTCCGCATCTCTACATTTATAGTTACGCTTCCTCAAGGTGAAATATCTTTACATTTATTGTTATGTAATTATTCAGGAACACGTAATGCTCAAGCAGCAGGTAGAAGATCTTCTTCAGGAGAACAATATTTTGAAGCGAGCATTTGCTGTTCAACACGAGCGTCAGAAGGAGTTTGAAGATAGAGGGAATGAGGTGAATCAGCTGAAGCAGATGGTGGCTCAGTATCAGGAGCAGCTGAGAACGCTTGAGGTCAGATCACCCTCTTCAAATTTATTACATGTTTTATGCTATCTGGGAACAAAGATAAAAAGATACGAGGACTAAAATTTAGTTGTCAAGCATGCTTCATTCTGTAGAATGAACATCCCTGTCAGTGGCGGGACCAGGATTTTCATTAGGGTGATTCAAAAATATGAACAGGCAAGTAAGTACACAAATAAGCCAAAGGGATTTAGCACGTACTAATGTATATAAAAAATAAGTTTAACCCCTTGTATATTGTAATTTTATGCGGAAGGGGTTTGGAACCTTACTCGGTTACCCCTACCTGACCTCCCCCCCCCTCCCCTCGCGTGGCGAGCTGTGTCTTTCCATGTTAGTACGTATATGCCGCATTCAGCTCCCTCATGCCATTTCTCATGTATGACAAAGAAAGTGATTGCCCTTTCTGTGTGATCAGGTCAATAACTATGCGCTGACGATGCATCTCAAGCAGGCACAACAAGGCAACTCTATCCCCGGGCGTTTCCATCCCGACGTCTTTTAATGTGTATTATGTCCTCATTAATGGATAGGATAGCAATAGTCATGTCCTACCATAGCTATAAGCAACACATTTTTTTGGGATGATACTTGGCCAGAATACATGTTTTGCTTAGTTGAAGCCTCCTGGTGCTGTTATTAGCCAAAGGGTAGCTATAGTATCAAGGAAGTTATAGACATGGTTTTACTTTCTGTTTGTACTTCAAATTAGACAATGAGTTTATACTTTTCTGGTCTTTTATTAGTGATAAGAAACTATTTGACTTAAAATTTGCATTCTTGTTAGATTATGTTTTAATATAATAATATTCGGCTCTGTTGCAACAACAACAATATATCCAGTGTAATTCTACAAGCGGGATATTCTGTTCTGTTGCATATGTTAGGTAGTTGAAATGACCTCCCAATTCCAACACCTTTAAAACTTGAGAAGTTTTTGTGTGTATTCTCAAGCGTCTATTACTACAAGTTAATTACATAAACTACGTTACCACCTTTGATTATAAATATTAGCTTCAATTTTGAAAGCATGAGGCTTAACAATTTGTGAAGGGTAATGTGTATAATTGGAGGATATGACACATTTAAGTGGTTAATTTAATTACGTAATGAGTGTTCAAGGATACATAATAGGAACACTTCATTACACTTTTTTTAGGTGTTCAGTCAAAGCAAAAATGATCTGAGTGTTTTAATAATAAAATTTACTGACAAATTTGACGATAAATGTTCTACTTTACCTAAGAAAATTGTGTCCTTCAAAATTTGTGCTTTTGTTTTATAAAATTATAGTAGTTGAACATGGCCCCAATTAATTATAATAAGTGGTTTAGATTTCTTTATCATGTGTGGGTGTTCCTAGATGTGAGATCCACATGAACACCAACTTAAACTCTTTTTTTAAACCACCATTATTGTAGTTTTGACTAGTACTATCTTTTCTAGGTGGTTATTATTATTATTACTATAAATAGCTCACATTTAGTAAAGAATAATTAGGTATTACTCATTATTTTTTCTATAACTTAAGGGTGTATTTGTTACTCTATGTCCATATTATACCCAATTCAAAAAGTATTTTCTTATTTTTCATGTTCGGTTGACCAAATTTCTAGAAACTATTTTTTTAAGAAAATGACTTTCTTAATGAAAGTAGGAAAAACAATTTATATAAATGATATTCTATGTTTACGGTATCTTCTCCATCCATTCAACACCTTCAATCCCTACCCTTTGGGCCTTGATCATTTCAACTCCGCCACCCTCAAAGGCTCTTATAGTGTTTCGCTATATAACAGATGAGTTCTAATGAGATATTTTGAGAGATAAATGATACGTAAAATTGGACTAGGTTTTTGACCCTTTAGTATAGGGCAACTACAATTTTATAGATGACTTTATGAAGACACATAGAGACTTTGAAATGTCACAATCATATTAATAAGTCAATGTTTTGTGGTTGCAAGTCATCAACTTGTGAGACTAGACTTGGTCTAGAATTTATATGATATATTAGCACAATTGAGAATGAAGTATTATTCAAAGTCTACCTCTAAAGTCTCAGGTGAAATAAAGAATTACTCTTTTTTTTTTTCAAACTAATGGTTACCGTTAGGTCAAAATCATCTCGAAGCTAAAATGAAAAGTGTAAAGTTTTTGCATCTTTTTATAATCGCAAGATTAAAATTTTCACTAAAAGTTCAGACTAGAATTGATTGACCGTGAGTGACCATTCTTGATTTGCGTCGCATAGGGACTTATTCGAGGGAAGCATTTCCGATCAAAGATTTTTCACACCAAAAATTGAATTCGAGAACTCTGGCTAAGGGAGGAACAACTTCATCCACTGCACCATATCTTTTGGTGATACTGTTTGAATATTTTTATTTTACTAAGCTTTTAGTCATGAGACTTCTTTTGATTTTCTTTTTATAAGAGTTCGAAAATTAGATATATACCAAGTCAACTTCTTTAATCAAACTTTTATCACAACAACAATAATCTAATTAGTGTAAGTCCTTATCCGTCTATTTTAAAGATAAAGAAGTTATTTTCAGTAAATACTTCGACTCAGAGAAATGAAAAAGTAACAAAAGTATGAGATAGCAATACACTCTATCTAACAAATTAATAGCCATACCAAAACCTTAGCACTTGTCTATTCTACAATTGTATATAAAATGTTGCAAGTATCAAGATCTACCATATGATTATCTTTTTTTTTTTATCTAATAAAGATCTTTAATTTGATCATGAATTAACAAGTACCATAAACAAAACAAAAAAAACAAGTCAATTAATAAACAAACATATAATGTGTCAGTACAACCATAAAAACTTGTCTGCTTTGAAAACAACACAATCTGATCAATTACAGAACCAAAAGTGTGATAATGCTTCTTAATTTTCTCTAAATCCAACTAGTTAAAGAAAAAAAGAAAAGAAATAATCTTAGTTGACTTAACTAGACCTAGATCCAATCTTAAACTTAAGCAAATTCTATGAGAAACTAAAGAAAAAGTAACTAACTATACACAATCCACTCAATGCAAGTTATTTTTTCCTATTTGTACAATCTTGAAGATTAGAAAGTAAACCTTGCTCAAAGTAGTTGATCATCTTCGTCATCGACTGATACTTAGGTTGAAAAAGGATAAGCGAAAACACTAAATTGACGATTTGAATTATGTTGAAGAGCAAGTAAAAACACTAAGACCAAAGGATTTGAGTCACGCTTGAAGATAAGTGAAAATACTGTTGATCACTCTAGGGTTGGGATGGAAAAAAAAAAGATATCACATGACTTAAACGGTTCAAGTCACGCTAGAGGGTAAGTAAAAACACTGAAGGTTGAGAGTTCGAATCATGCTGAAGGATAAGGGAAAACACTAAGATCACAATACAGGATAAGTGAAAATACTATTGTTCATACTAAATTGACGGTTTAAATCGGGTTGAGAGTTCGAAACATGCTGAAGGATAAGTGAAAACAATAAGATCATGATAGAGGGTAAGTGAAAATACTATTGATCATACTGAATTGACGGTTAAAGTCACGTTGGAGGGTTGAGAGTTCGAGACATGCTAAAGGATAAGTAAAAACACTAAGATCGTAAAACACGGTTGATCGTACTGAATTGACGATTCAAGTCACGTTGGAGGGTAAGTGAAAACACTGTCGATCGGGGTCAGAAAAAAAAAGGAATCTTGAATACTAGTACTAGTTTTTTGTAACATAAATGGAATTTGCCCTTCCTAAGGAATTGGAATAAGCCTTCCACCATTTCTCATCATCTTCTTGAATTCATCAAAATTCACCATTCCATCACCATCAACATCAACATTCCTAATCATTTCTTTACAATCATCTAATCTCTTACCTTGATTTAACCCCAAAGATGAAAGCACTTTACTCAATTCTTCCTCAGATATCAATCCATCTTTATCATAATCAAACACATCAAAAGCATCTTTCAAATCCCCTTCTTCCACACCCCCTTCTTCTTCTTCTTCACTAACAACTTTCTCAATCCCCAAGAAACTATGACAAAGTTCATAAAACTCATCAATATCAATCAACCCATCTTTATTAAAATCAACTTTTTCAACCATTTCAAGAATATCTCCATCTTCCATAAAAATCCCAATATTCTTTAGTGATTGTTTCAACTCTTGTTTTGTTATATACCCATCATTGTTCTTGTCAAATGTTGCAAAAACACCACTCAACTCAACTTTTGAGCTCTTCTTTTCAACAAAGATTGAATCTTTATTGACAAAAGGGGTTGTTGGGGTTAGGGTTTGAGGTTTAACAGAGAGGGAAAAGATCCAAGATTGAAACTTTTTTGTGGGAAAATTGAAAAGGGTTGTAATTAAACCAAGAATGAAGAGAAATGCTAAGAAAAGAAGGCTAATTGTTAACATTTTCTTGATTCTTGAAGAGGATTTCAATGGAACAGAAAAAATGAAAAGGAAAAAAAAATAGGCTTCTTTGAGTTGTTTTGTAAAATGAAATTAAATTTATGTAAAGAGAAAATATAACGCGTTGGTTTGGTGATTTAGCTTTTAACTTTTCTATTTATTATCATTAGTATACTATCTCCGTCTCATTTTATGTGATATCACTTGATTCGTTATCTATCAATAGATAAAAAGAAATTTTTTAAAATTTATAATCTAAAACTATTTTTAAGAGTTAAACGGTCGTTTAAAATATAAAATAAAATAATACTTTTTAAAGATAAATTAAAAAAGAAAAATATGTCATGTAAAATAAAATGATAATTCCTTCGTCTTATTTGATGTGATACCACTTAATTTGTTATCTGTTAATAAATTTAAAAAAAATTAAAATTTATAATCTAAAACAATTTTTAAGAGTAAACGATCATTTAAAATTTAAAACAAAATAATTTTTTTAAGATAAATTTAAAAAAGAATATGTCACGTAAAATAAAACGATAAAGAATATAAATTTTTGAATGTTGATTTCCACCCAAAATTTTAAAAAGAAAGAACGCGTGAAATGGTAAATAAAGTGTATATTATTTCAAACTCTTAAACGCGTTGCTTCCATCAATTTTGGAGAGTGATGGTGGGGTGGGTGGGGTGGGGTTGTGGGGGTAATAGAATTTAATTAAATTAATATTTTTTTTCCTACTTTTTAGAGTTAAATCTTGCTTGTACGTTACACAAAACCTAAAGTCATAAATAATATTATATTACTTTTTTTGTTTTTATTTAAATGTCTAATTCAATTTGTCACGAGATTTTTAAAAGATAAAATTGAAATTTTTGAACTTCAAAAATAAGTTTTAATGAGAGTGTGAAACGATAGTGTATAAAAAAATATATTTTTATTTCGTGAAGATAAATAAATTATTTTTATATTATCCTTGATTGAGTAAGAATATAAAAATTAAGTGTTTAAAATAAATATAATAATGAAGAAGTTTTTTTTTGAAAAATAACTAAGAAGTGAACAAATAACAACAAAAAGTAATATGATAATTGAAGAAAAAAAATAATAAATATATAGGAGAACTAGATGATACTCGACTAACTGTTAATTTTTTATTTTAATTCTCGACCTCCATATCTTGTATGTTAATTCTTACTTCCAGATCTTGTCATGTAAGTTACGTTACTGAACTAACACTATATCAATCGCCATAATTTTCAATCTAATAATTTTAAATTAAAAATATGTATATCGTTTTTTAGAATCTTAAATTTACAACGTAAAATATTAAAATTAAAACTAGAACAATATCAATTATCATGTA